ATCAAGCATTTTTTAAAGAGCCTTGTAACCAAACTTTGGGATCCTCACATAAAAAACGCGAGTTTAGCGCATGTCTAAACGCACGAGAACTTATGAGAGAAAAGAAATTTGATCGGGGCGAGAATTTTTTACCCAAGCACCGTCCAAATCGAAAGACTCCCGCAAGAAAAAAAAAATACACATGTGTAAATTTAAGAGAAGGCCAAAACTAGCATCGTTAAAAAATCCAGTTTGCATAGTTTAAGATCCCGACACCAAAAGTTCGAGTGTGCCGCATAGCTAAACGCACGAGAAAAGACAAGGGGAAAGTAAGTTGACATCGTTAAAAATATCCACCCAAGCACTATTCAAATCGATAGACTTCCACAAGTGAAATACACGTTGGAGGCTTGGTAGAGGGCTAAAACTAGCATCTTTAAAAAGCGAGGTAAGCAAAGTTTGGGATCCCCACATCTGAAAGAGAGTGTGCTGCCTCGCTTAACGTGCGAGAACAAGCGGGAGAAAAGAAAATTGACATGGAGAAGATATCTAACCCAAGCACTGTCCAAATCGATAGACTTCTACAAGTGAAATGCACTTGTGTAGATTTTAGGGAGGGCCAAAACTAGCATTTTTAAAAAGCCCCGTAAGCATAGTTTGGGATGCCCACGCAAAAAAACGCGAGTGGGCCGAATCACTAAACGTGCAAAATCACGCGAGTGAAAATAAATAAATGGACGAGAATCTTTAACCCAAGCATTGTCCAAAGAGACGGACTTCCACAAGTGAAATACACGTGCGTAGATTTGGGGTAGGGCTAAAAGTAAAATAAAACGTGAGGGTGGCGCATCTCTAAACGCGCGAGAACTTACTAGAGACAAGAAAATTGATATGGGCGAGAATCTCTCAAACAAGCACTGTCCAAATCGAAAGACTTCCACAAGTGAAATACACGTGTGTAGATTTGGAGGAGGGCTAAAAGTCGCATGTTTAAAAAGTTAGGTAAACATTGGTTGGGATCCCCGCTCCTAAAACGCGAGTGTGGCGCATCTCTAAACGCGCGAGAACTTACGAGAGAAAAGGAAGTTGATCGGGGCGAGAATCTCTCTACCAAACTCTGTCAAAATCGATAAAAGTAGCGACTTTAAAAAGTTAGATAAGCATTGGTTGGGATCCCTGCTACAACAACGCGAGTGTGGCGCATCTCTAAACGCGCGAGAACTTTCGAGAGAAAAGCAAGTTTATATGGGCGAGAATCTCCAACCCAAACACTGTAGAAATCGATAGTTTTCCACAAGTGAAATACACGCGTGTAGATTTGAGGGAGGGCTAAAAGTAGCATCTTTAAAAAGTTGGGTAAGCATTGGTTGGGATCCCTGCACCTAAAACGCGAGTGTGGCGCATCTCTAAACGCGCGAGAACTTATTAGAGAAAAGAAAGTTGATATGGGCGAGAATCTCTCACCCCATGACGGGACGTAAATGACTTCCACTGTAATTATCTCTTCCTGGTGTTTTTATTTTTTTTTAATTCCATGAGAACAGGGCTGTATTTCTCAAAGGCTGTGGTTGTAATTCGTAAAAACACTGAGTTCTTATAAATCGTTTAGAAATTCTTCGTTCCAGTTCAAATGTATGTTGCTGTCAAATGGGTGGGCACTTAATGTGTAGACCGTGATGTAAGATACCTTAAACTATTTTTACTGTTCATGATGCACTGCTACGTTAGTCTGGTTTATAAATATTTAACTGCTCTGGTCGAGTTTTTAATTTCAATATGATTAAATGTTCTTTTTTTGCGTTCCTGTTAAAAATGATGCAAAGTTTTCAATTTCAGTCATTTCAATTTGAAGAAAAGGTCCCGTTAGTACCTTCTTGTTACCTGATGAAAATTCTGCGGGGTTTGTTTTACCAGGGCGCTTCATGACGCCTCCTGGAATAAGCTATACCTTCCCTAATTGAATCGTCATCAGTTTATCGTACGTTATTCAGGTTATTGATTGGAAAAATAACTATACTTTTGAACCTTAGTTCCTCTATTTTCAGGGGAGGGGGGTTGGGCTCACTTCTTTCGGAGGTCGTTACTTACGGACGTTTCGATTCGTTGCGTGTACGAGCCATTGGCCAAGCGATTGGCCAAGCCATTGGCAGCCGTGCATGGTCACCTAAAGCACTGACAATCTATCTTAGGTCCACGTACTAAGTTTCTCCTCGCGCTTTGTTTGTTTGTTTGTTTGTTTACCCTCAGCTGTGTAATTGCGCGATATTTTCTACACAAGAACTTCAATTGCCGAGCATGATAATACTGCACGTGGCTCAATCTGCCAACGACATACTCAGACAAGTATTCCAGATCATCTGGGTTTTTATTCCTTAAGATCTGTTTTAGATTGATTAATCAAACGCTGCTTTACGACCGGACAAGCATCGCGATGCAGGCTNCAGACAAGTATTCCAGATCATCTGGGTTTTTATTCCTTAAGATCTGTTTTAGATTGATTAATCAAACGCTGCTTTACGACCGGACAAGCATCGCGATGCAGGCTTAGAGTTTATTGTGATGGCTTTCATTGGGAAAACAAGGCATTTACGCCTGCTCGCCGGGCTCAATGTCCATTCACAGGCACTTTGGTATATTTAAGATCAGTTTGTAGATCTGAACTTGGTTCAGGGGAAGAAGCAGAGGAAGGTTCATGTTGTGTAATTCGTTCATCATTGCGGGATTACTTGATTTATCGGGATTCCCAGGTTTTGTCCGCTCACGTCCAAGTCTTTCTTCACGTGTGTTTAGACGTGATCCGATATATAATGACCTTGTTTTGTTCCAGATTATTCAGTGGCGTCGGTGGAGTCCGCATCATTTGAAAGCATCCGGAATGATTCGAACGCACTATTTACTTTTAAAGCAGTATTAATCTGCTTTACTTTTTATTTAATATCATCGACATGTCACTGAAACAGATTATGACGCTTTTTTGGCCACAAGACGAAGAACCTTAGTGAGGGTATGTAAAGAATGCTAGGAAAATTTCCTACCATTTCTTTGCGGTACTTACAGTAGAAGCCCGGTGCGTCCCGTCATGATTTCATATGTTCGTATTTCGTATGCTATTTCGTATGATTTTTAACATTTCTTTCAAGCCAATCCACTGCTATAATATTGAACTATAAGAGATTAAAGTCGTCTGAATTTCCCGATATTTGGTCTAATAATGATGATGATAATAATGATGATGATAATGACGATGATGACGATGATGACGATGATGACGATGATGACTACGAGAACGACGATAACATCGATGACGACGACGACGACGACGATGATGATGATGATATTTCATAAAGGTTATAGTGTCGAGTAAATGATAAGTATGTTATGGGAACTCCGCTTTTAGGCTTCCCTGAATCTATATTAGATGTGATATGTGGGAGCATGATAGCTAGTATAGCAGGGGGCGAGACTTGTGGACATTTTTTTTTTTTTTTTTTTTTTTTG